ATTTCATTGGCGATAATTAAGTAGGCCTATTATGGTTATAAATTATTTCAGGTACTTTTACGTTTGCGTAATATTTGTTAATTGATATTCTTGTGTTATGCGTGTTCAACAAACTTGACGTTGATTATCATTTCATTGCAGGAGGGACGCACACCACTACATTGGTGTCTATGGAATCCGACGCTGACGCACGAGCAACACAAGGAAGTCGCAATTCTCATGATCACCTTTGGCGCGTCAGTGACAATAAAAGATAAGGTAATGTACAGAAAAATGAAATGCATCAAAAGAATATCAGGCAATGACCTTAATACAACAACTGTATATGAAACTACTTGAAACATTTTTACTAATTAAAACCAACGTAATAAATATAAATTCATAAAACATTAAATCGATTAAAATGTTAGCGAATATGGTAATGATAATGATTTTTTAAGTATGATTTCAATAAATATTTTTTCCCCGATGTGATGTGATAGTGATAGTAAATTACAACAATAGTATAAAGTTGTAATGCTCATAGTGTTGATTATTTAAATTATTATTTACCATTTTATTATTATATCATTATGGTTTTTAAACCAAAATATACGGTACCACTGTTTTTTGTTGATTTAATTTGCAACCGTCACCCATGCAATGAAACGAATCATCGCGTGCTCGTGTCTGTTATTGCAGGATGGAAAGACGCCTCTTGATGTGTATCATGATAAAGAATGTGTAAATTACGAAAAAACCACGAAAACCAAGAAAAAGGAGGAGTTGAAAGAACTACTTAAAGGTACGATAATGACCTGTTTAAACCACATTTAACAGACATATTACTCATTACATTTATTTTCTAATATAATTATACACTACTATATTATTTTTAATTCAGTTGCATTTTGATTGAGAATTGTAAGAAATGTTAATCGTAATTAATTAAAATGTAATTTAGAAAGTGAATTAAATAAAAAGTATCAGTATAGACAACATAGGACAACATACTAAATATTTGATTTTTATTTTTATATTAATTAGAACTATCAATTCCGTCAGAGATTTTAGCCAGGGGTCCCGAAGCCGTCAAAGCATTCAAAGATGCACTTAAAACTGGTGAAATAACAGTTGTTAATTCAAGACTGATGTTCCTAGGTAACGAGGGTTCCGGGAAAACCTCTTGTGTCAAAGCCATGCTTGGGAAAGCGTAAGTACAATCGGATGTATTAGGTTTTGTACTTTATATCGATTTACTTTGCTTGCTTTTTTTCA